AGAGAGAGAGAGAGAGAGAGAGAGAGAGAGAGAGAGAGAGAGAGAGAGAGAGAGAGAGAGAGAGAGAGAGAGAGAGGTTGTTGTCGTTGGCTCTATAGAGCAGGCGAGAGAAAGACAGACAGTTAAAGATCAAGACGATCAGAGACCAACCAAAATCCACAAATGGAGTTGTTCAAAATTTGTGAAATGACGGCACTGATTTACGGTCATTTCTTCTTATTCTTCTTCTTCTTCTGCTGCTGCTGCTGCTGCTTTTCGCCGTTGTTTTTGTTCCTGTGCGGTTGTGCCTTTGGTGGTTTGCAGCGGATTGAGTACGATATCGGGCAGAACATCACAAAGACAACTTCGTTCCCAGCCGAGGTTTCGGTCGCTCAGAAGACAATGGGTCTCGTCTCCCCGGACAATAACCGGTTGTTCTTGGCCAATTCCAACACCAGCCAGTTTATTCAAGCGCTTCCCTACGAAGGCTCTAATGCGACCTACTTCAACCTCCCTGGAGGATACTCGTTCACAGCCATGGCGGCGGACCATTTCCGGAGGCGGGTCTATTATTTCACGAACGATCCTGCCGCCCCCATTTACATGTTCCACGACTACGAGCAGTTTCCGCCGACGAGCCCTCTCCGCACGCTTCCTCTCTACTACACCTCCATCCAACCTCTCATGACCACCTACACAACGCGCAATATCACAGTGTATCAGGCGTACTTCGCCAAAAACCAGGATCTGGCCTTCTTCGTGACAGACCCCCTGGACACGTCTGTGGCTGTCGATATTATGGCCGTGACCACATCGTCCTGCCCAGACTCGTTTGGTGTGTGTCATCAGACTTCACAGGGAAATTGCGGCTGTGCCCCTAAAGCAGATGCAGCCTACCCGGTGTTCAAGGCTGCTTGCAACCAGGCTACTTTTGATTATACCCCTCGTTTGGACTTCCCCATTGAGATCTGTCCAGGCAATCCAGTTCCCACACCTCCCGTCGTTGCGACGCCCCCTTCAGTGCCGGCGACAGCCCCGACAGAACCAGCTGCCGCAGTGTCTACAGCCCCGACAGAACCGGCTGCAGCGGTGTCGACAGCCCCAACAGAACCAGCTGCAGCGGTGTCGACAGCCCCGACAGAACCAGCTGCGGCAGTGTCGACAGCCCCGACAGAACCAGCTGCTGTAACGACAGCCCCAACAGAACCAGCAGCAGTGTCTACGGCCCCGACTACAACGGCACCTGCATCTACTGCTGCATGACTTGCAGCTCCTTAGGCCAAGTTCGCACTGGTGATTGGGTGTGGCGGATATCTCCGCTACTGGTGGGGTGGGCCATCCATCAGCTGGCTGTAATTAGGATATATACATAATTTTCGTGAAAAGTACGGACAAGTTCGAGAGCCAAATCCGGGGGGGAAATTCAGCATGTTCCTTTCGGAGAGTGAATGTGGATGTGGAGAGGACCAGGTGCACGTGTAATATGTACTGCGCCACCGACGAGCCAGGGTGCATTCCTTGTCCCTTAAACCACCAGCACTTGGCCCAGCTATCGGCCGTGGAAAAAAATAGAGTAGAAAAACCACGAGTACTTGGCCCAGCTATCGGCCATTGAAAAAAATAGAGTAGAAATGTTTCTAGTCGGATGAATTTGGGCACACCTGTAGTGACGGGTAGATTCCGTAAAATTGCGACTTGTTAACAGGCACGACTTTTGGAAGTAGTGGTGGTTTAAAAACTTCTTTGGGAGAGGAAAGGTGGGTAGGGGTCTCATAAAGGGTAGAACCCTAAGCCAAAAAAAAAAAGGAAGGGGGGGGGGGAGAGAAGGACTTGGCTTGCTTATATATGCGGAATGGAATGCTAGAAATGCCACTGCTGTAAGGACAAGAGATTTGAACACAAATCCAAGTAAAAAATTCCACCAGTTCCAGTTCTAGAGTGTACCTGAGTTTGAAGAGGACCAGGTTCATGCATCATCTGTATGGAGGGAAGACCAACATACATTCTCAGAGAAACGATTTTTCAGTTTTGGGTTTGCATCCCCTACTTCTACTAGAGTGTACCTGAGTGAGAAGCGGACCAGGTGCATGCATCCTCTGTACAGAGGATAGGCCAGCATACATTCGTAGAGCAAATATTTTTCCGTTTTGCAATCGCATCCCCTGACAGTCACAAACAACTCCCTAAAAAATAATAATAATACTCGGAAGATTCTCATGCCCGGCCGGGCACCCCGGTGCGCAATTGTGGGTACAAATTGGTTAAAGGGGCTAAAGGGGTTTAAAGGGGGTGCCTTTGTGCGATTCTGTTATTTTCTTTTTTTTCTCCGATTCTGTGAAGAATTAGAATGTGACCCTCAGCCAAAAGTCGTTTGTATTTCAATTCTACACAACATTCTTTTTTCTAGAATTTTTTGAATTAATTTTATTTTTATTTTTTTTGAGCTGGGGCTGCCCGAACCGTGCCCGGGGGGCATGCCCGGCCGGGCACCCGGGCGTGTACCCGGCCATAAGTTGGGTGCCCGGGCGCCCGGAAAAACAGCCTAGTAATATATATATATATATATATATATATATATATATATATATATACATCGTCAAATAGAACTGCCCGGTAAACCGTAGGCAGAGAGGGAGAAGAGGACAACAAACGAGGGGCTGTGACAAACTGTTTCGTCGGAGTTTCACCTACATATATATATATATATATCGTCAC